TACCTCTAATTCATTCTCTTTAAAGATGTGCAATATCCTACAGTGTGAGTGTACCATCATAAAATCAACTATGTCCCACTCAAGCATCAGTCCTCCATTTGTTTGTTTGTTTTTACCATTCTGAGCCAGGCTACATTTTATGCATGTGTTCTCGTACCCTTGTGTTGCTACTTCTAATGGCTGGCTCAAAAAAGACATGTATATTTTCACAGATATTGCTAGATTGCTCTCCAAAATGGCTGTAACACTTTACATTTCCCCATCACCAGCAATGGTTTTCTTATTGTTGCTTTTGTTTTGATATCTAACTAGTACTTGCAATGGTTCTCTTAACAGAAAACTATCCTTGCTCTCTCAGGATAAACCTTCTTTGGTCAGGCCGGATGGTTCTCTTCATGTACTATTGAATTCGATCTGCTAGAACTTTCCTTAGAATTCTGTAAACATCTTCCTAAGGGATAGAGGCCCATGGCTCTCTCTTCAGTTCTATTTTCATATCAAGATTTCTTCTGCTAGTTTCATGAAATGATTGAAGGACCTTTCCCTTTATTCATTCACTCGTCCATTTGTTCCTTCACACAATGAACTGGTGGCCTGCCAATGCCAAGCACAAGTCCCACTCAGAGGAATACGACACTTCCCTACACTTTAGGGTATGGCCCACCATAAAATGCATAACCAGTGACTGCGTAGACACGGTAACTGAGAGGTGCACAGAATGTGCGTGAGAACCAAGGACTGGAGTTTGGTGGAAAGTTTCTGAGGACAGACCTACACGTCTTTTATAACCAAGCAGCTAATATTACAGGTTTACATAATTTGTGAGAGTTGTATTCCTAACCATTTGGTATCAAAACTAAATAGTTGAGCCAAGAATATATCTATATCTATATATACATATATATATATATACATTCAGTGGTGAATCTATATTTTTAGATATAGAGTCCTTAAAAGTGAGCAGTAAGAGCCAGGGACCAGTGGTTCATCGTTATATATTCAGGAGGCTGAGATCTGAGGATCATGGTTCAAAGCCAGCCCAGGAAGGAAAGCTCAGGAGATTCTTATCACCAATTAGCTACAAAAAAAAAAAAACCTGGAAATGGTTCTTTGGCTCAAATGATAGAGAGCTAACCTTGAGCAAAAAAGGTCAGGGATAACACCCAGGACCTGAGTTCAAGCTCCAGAACTGGCACCAAAACAATAAAAAATAAAAATGAGTATCAAGCAGTCTTATGGCATATCAACACTAATAATGAAGCATATGTTAGAAATTAATATAAAACCTAAATAAGGTACCAGTCACTTGGTCTGTCATTTGATTCTAAGAAAAAAAGTCTATTATTTAATGTTAAGATAAGCCACCATCTTAACCTAAAACAACCTTTTTATGGCTACGACATCACCCTCATTGGGGTCAATAAAATGAATAGATTAAAAATACTTTGAACGGCATCATCAGCATTCAGAATATCAAGCAGCACATCAGAGAAAAAATTGCTTGTTCAATCACTTCACGAGATGTTAGAACAAGAATAATCCTTTACTCAGAGAGAATAATGCCCCAGAGAAAGGAAATAGGCAAGGACATTTCTTTTTAGAGCATCTTCCTACACACAACAGTGCACAGACTCACAAACTTATCTCTGGATTCCTGAAGCTGAGAATAATAAGAACCCATCACAATACCAAAAAGATCAAAGAAAATTAAGTGAAGTTGACAATGAAAAATAACAAGTATTGAAACTAAAGGAAAATACAATTTACAGAGCAATTTATTTCTGTGTGGGGACTCAATTTATTTTGATGGAAATCATTCAAACCAATGTCACACAGAAGTTCACAGCCTGAAAACTTGTAAACTTTGTGGAGTGTTAAGTAGTAGTCAAAACTCTTATCACCAAGCTATCCACAGGAAAATAATGTATCAGAGGTGAGCTGCCAGCTGTGAGGCGATAGCTTAATTAATGGATTACATTTTCAGATGCCCAAACCAACTCATGAAATAAATTACACTCAAATGTGGGAAGTTTTATGAGAGCCAGAGACTCAGAGCTCCTAGCATCTGCAGACCACTTCGGAGGAGCCCAGAAAATGCTTACGATGCAGAATAGGTTTATAACCTACATCTCCTTTTTTTTTAACTTTCAACTAAAACAACCTGCCAATAGAAATGAGTGAGATAAAAATCAATTTTTTGCAAAACTGCAACCCAACCCCAACATCACGTAAACTGAGGCTGAATAAGAAAGTAGGTCATTGAATTTAGAACCCTTTAACTTCCATTTGATGAAAATGCCAGTATAATAAACTTCTCCAGTAAGTTCTTCTGACTCAGTGTCAATGGTCTGAATGCTGACAATGCCTTTATTTTCTCAGTGAAAACCGGAACACTCACCCTCAGAAAACAGAAAACAGTGTGGTTATGCATTGGAAATTTTGTCTTCCCTAGTTTTCTTTATTTCATCCTCTATCATCAGTTTAGAATGGTATATCTATGTTTGGATCTAAGTGAGAGAATATTCATTTGTGTCATCATGTTAGTATCTAACAGATAGTAATCTGATCATTAGTAAATGCTGATTATTATGATAGGTGACTATCATATGCTATCATATCACATGATAGGAGAATATAGGAACTTGTGCTATAATACAAGTAGCTACAAGTCCATTTTTATGGGAATCAAACCTGGTTCTGCAAGAAAGGAGTAATATACAAGACACTCCTTTCACAGAAAGTTTATCATGTGTGTAAGACCCTAAAGCCTTCCCCAGGTTTTTACCCAATTGAAGATACTCTGTATAAGATTCAAATAAATATCGAAGGAGTAAGAGGTTCATTTCATTATAAAGATATCTTTCTACAATATCTACAATATTTCTTTAATCAACTTCAGTTTTGCTTGCCTGCTTCTAAGCCCTTGAAAGTACATTATTATTCATTTCTTGGAACCTCTGTAAAGAAAGCTTTGCTTGACACTATTATGGGCAAATAAGCAAAGAGCTAAGAATTGTTCAGGCAAAGATTTGTTGCAAAAGAATGCTTTTGGGGCACGTAAAACTTCTGGGAGAAGAACGACATAAGTTTATTATTTAGGATGAAAGAGGATTAAAAATACATGATGTGTAAAACACTCAGTAGATTTAATAATGAACCAGACGTTGTGATATCTGGAGTTTGTAAACATCCAGAAAGAAGTACATATAGAGATCAAAATTTATAATACCCATACCTCCATTTTTCTGAATCATAAAATTCAGAGTACAACAGAGGAAAAAGCAAGAAGATAAAAATGCTGGAGTATATTATCTTGTATTTCCACTTTCCCCTTATCTTCCAGACTCTTAAAAGAAGTATTCTTTTCTTGGGTTGCTGATACTGGACTTGGCCATGTGACTTGCCATAGCCAATAAGATATCAGAGCATGCATGGGTAATTGTGTGTTTGTTTTTCTTCCAGAATATCCTTTCCTTCTACATCCTTGAGACTCAGTTCCACCATCAGAAACCAACACTCTGTGGGGCTTATTTCTCTCTTTTAAGTAATAATGATTTTAATCTCTTGCTTACATTCTAAGAGAATCTCGGAGTTTGCATCCACTCCATTGATTTTGTTTCCCACATTGATTCTGTTGTCTTTGCTTTGTTTCATTTTTGTTTTGTTTTGTTTTGAGACAGGATCTCATTACCTAGCCCAAGGTAGGCTTGAGTTTCCACCTCTTGAGTGCCTGGATTACAGGCATACATTACCTCACCTCACCTGGATTCAGTTCTGTTCTTGATTGTCTTTGGTGTGGATTTTTAAATCTGCTGTAATGTGTCTGGGGTATTTTTGCTTTTTAGTTTCTAATTGCTTACCTACACCTCAGATGACAGACCTATATCCTCCTGTGGTCACCCTGTCCTTACCAATAACAACAATATCTAGAATCACCATCTGTGTGCTAAGAAATCCCAACTCCTTCCTGATTCTAAGAACTCCTGGGGAATTCTGACTGTGACTCTGGTTTCCTGTTTCTGTAGTTTTCTAGAAATTCATCTTGTGCACATTCTGTTACTTTCTTAGAATGTGTCATCTCACAGCCCTGCATGCCTGCCCCTCCCACAGCACAATCACCACTGCAGGCCAATGTAGCAGATGCTGCTGAAGGCCTGAGGGATAGGCCACAGTGAGGAACTTTCAGTAAAAATTGGCAACATTAAAATTGGCCAACCCTGTTCTCCACACCTAGCCTACCAGCTGTCCTGCTCCAGAACTCCACTATCTGATGTTAAGGTTCCTTGTACCTGCTCTCCCCTGGAAGTCCTTTCCATTTCACCCAGCCCCTTTCTCCATTCCTGTGTCTTCTCTTGTGGCTGTTGCTTCATTCTGTTCTGCTTGCTGGGGTGTCACCTTCTATACCAAAGCAAGTTTTAAGGTACCTCACCAAAGGCTGCTCTCTTCCCAGTGGAGAAAGCCCTTCTGCTAGGATTTATAGCCTCAGCTCCCTGGTTCTCAGGCCTCCAGGCTCAGGCTGAACTACTCCACAAGCTTTCCTGGGCCTCAGGCCTACCGGCAGCAGATGGTGGCATTTCAGTCTCTATGATGACATGAGCCAATTCCTCCTCCTTCCTCATCAGCTTTCGCAAAGGTGATTAACACATGGAATGACACACATCAGTGATCATTCTTGGGGAGTACAGACCCTGAGTCACCAAAGAGGCAGGAGCGGGGGAGGGAAGGGAAACATCTTTCTAGCCCCTCTCAGGTTATCTCTTTGAAGAAGCAAATTGACAGAACCAGGAGTGGAGGTGCAGGTTTGTCTCAAGTTAATCATGCTGTCTTTAAAATTCTGATCCATTTTCTTGTCTTCTATATTAACATCAAGCTTTATGTTGGCATTGGAGTTGGTACTGGGAGAACATTTCACCTATGTCTGCATCTTTATGACAGTTACCAAGTTGAGGGTGGCTTGAGAAATGCCATGCCAGAGACATCAACAGTTCCACAAAGTAGGCAGTAACTGGCTCTTTGCCAGAGCAAGCTTGAGTGAGCATTTGAGCTAAATTTTGAAGGATGCATAGAAGTTTGTCATGTAAAGGAAGGGGAAAAGTTGTCTCCAGAGAGGACAGAGAGGTTGGGCTCTGGAGTATAGGTCAGAGTATCCCCAATCCTGTGCCACGCATGCACCTGGCTTCCAAGACGCTGATCCCGACCACCAGTAGGATGGCCAGTGTGGGACCACAGCGTCCCACACTTGCCCCCTCTTGTTCTAAACAACCTCAGTCCTTGCTCCCCTGCAGCAGAGCCATGTAATTTTCTTCAAGTGTTTTATTGTGGAAAATATTAGGACCCAGGGAACTGAAAGGAGACTGAGCTTTTAAGGCAAAGCAAAACCAGAACAACAACAACAAAAAAAAAAAAAACTAGAGTAGGGGGAGAGGGGAAGGGAATGGAAAGTGGGAGAAAAATGAGGGAGGGGGTAACAAGTTTGACAAGAAATGTACTCACTGCCTTACTTATGTAACTGCAACCCCCGTGTACATCACCTTGACATTAAAAGTAACTTTTTAAAAATAAAGTAAAAATAAAGTAAATAAAGATAAATAAATAAAAGGTGTGGTTTGCCAGGGTGCCTGGAGGAAACACACACACACACACACACACACACACACACACACACACACACACACACACAGTGGAGCCAAGGTGGTGCTAGCAACATGGGGATGTGGCCCAGCCAGGATACTGTACAGCAAAAGAGGGAGGACCTTCAAGTTGCAAGAAGTTCCAGAAAGCAGAAAAGACTGAGGCCAAGACCATCTCACAGTGGGGTCCCCACCAGCTCTGGACCGCGTTCATTCTTTTTGACTCACTTTTAAGTCTGCCTGACAACCACAAGTAGAAAGCTAAACACACCCTCCTGGCATCCACCTGCGATGAGCAGAGGAAAGAACGCCCACCCACAGCCTCACTGAGGGGCCTACCTTCTGGGTGAGATCACTGGCTTCATTAATGTAGCGATCGCGCTCCTTTTCCAGCTGAAAGATGATCTTTCTCTGCTTCTGGGCCTCTTCCTTATAGGTCTGGATTTCTTCCTCCAGATTTCTCTTGGCTTGCTCATGGAGTCTTGCCAGGTCTATCTGCTTCTGGGTTGCACTGATTGCCTTAAGCATATTCTAAAAATATGGGTGACAAGCCATATTACTGACAGCCTTTGAGACTACCCCTACTTTGTCCTTAAAATATTAAACGGCTTATCTTCTGTATAAATCATAGTGTTCTCTACAGAGATATAGAGGTTGTTATATGAATTTTGCACACAGCACTTTCAATGAATACATGAATGCACAAAACAATCACAAGATCCCTGGAAGGGAGTTCTATGTTGCTCCCATGTGTGGGCTAGGAAGCAGAAACGGAAGGACTAAGCTACATGCCTCCCAGTTCATACAACAGGAAAGTGGCAGAGCCAGGGTTGGATCCTGGACTGGCTGACCCCAAAGTCTGTGCTTTTTATTCTCATTCCACCTCCAGGGTATATCTTGTGAGGCTAGAACAACTGGACCAGGAGTATGGCTTGGTAGTAGAGCACTTGCAGAGCATGCAGGAAGCCCTGGGTTTGATTTTTAGCCTTGAAAAAAAAAATCTCTAAGAGCAAAAAGCAAAATAGTAAAATACCTTAAAAATAAAAATGTCTGGGCACCAATGACTCATGCCTGTAATTCTAACTACTCAGGAGGCTGAGAATCAAAGGTTGAAGCCAGCAAGAAGGCAAGAAAGTCCATGGACTCTTATCTGCAATTAACCACCAGAAAGTCATAAGTAGAGCTGTGGCTCAAGTGGTAGAGCACTAGCCTTGAGCAAAAAAAAAAAAAAGCTCAGGAATAGTATCCAGACCCTAAGTTCAAGCCCCAGGACTGGAACAAAATAATAAAAATAAATAAATAAAAATAAAAATGCAGATGTGTAGAATTAACACATCACCCAATGACGTCACTCCTGGGTATTCTCCAAAAAGCAATGAAAGCAAAAACATGTACATGAGTGCTTATACATAGTAGCACTCTTTTAAAAGCCTAAAAATGAAAACAACCCAAAACATCTACCAACTGATGCGCATAAACAAAATATCATCTGCCCATACAATGGAATATTAGTTGGCACAAAGAAAGGAGTTGAAATATCAATGCATGCAACAACCTTGAACATTACTGTTCTGATAGAAAGATGCCAGACTTCAAGGTCACATAGCATATGATTCCACTTGTACCAACATCCAGCGTGGTCCAATCTTAGAGACAGAAAGCAGATTGGTAGTTGCCAGGGGGGTGGGAGGAGGGAGAAGGGGGAGTGAAAAAGCACAGGATTTCTTTTTGTGATGGTGAGCATGCTCTCGACCCAGATGATGACAGTGGTGGCAAAATCCTGTGAATGTCATTCATAATAAATTGTGTATTTGTGTGCACTTTACAACTATACAAAAGAAATTAGCCTAGCTTTTAGAAACAAAATGTGTATGACCATGTCCAGGTCTATATTTCTGACTGAGTGGAACAGAATCATGTACCCATACTTTTTTTTTTAAGCTGCACTGGGGATTTCCTTGGTGGAGAGGTTGGCTACAGTCTGGTAACCACCCTTGTCAGGTATGTCCATTTCACTGTCCAAGATTAAAGGGAACCAATGACATTCCACAGGGAGTTTTTAAATGGGGCCTTCATTTAGTGGTGTGGGGGGTGAGAGTGCTCATGCCTATACTCCTAGCTATTCAGGAAGCTGAGATCAGAAGATGGTAGTTCAAAGCCAGCCTGGGCAAAAAGTCTGAGACTCTTATTTTCAATTAATCACACCCCCCCCTAAAAAAAGCCAGAAATGGAGGTGTGGGTCAGTGGTAGAGTGCTGGCTTTGGGTAGAAAAGCTCAGTGACGGTGCCCAGTCCCTGAGTTCAAACCCCAAAACCAGCCCCCCCCAGGCCCTCCAAAAAAAAAAGGAATTAATGGACACAGGCATTTCTGCTCAAATGGGCTGTAGCCATCTTGACCAAAGCCATCCACCAGTCCCCACCACCCAGCCTATGATTCCCTCCCCAGAGGAAATCTCTGAACAGGAAAGTTTGCTTTGCACCCTTGAAAGCAGTCAGACTAAGTGAGGTCAATGGAAGGAATTCTCTGGAGGGAGGAGGGCAGAAAAAAGAGGTTCCTGCCTTTAATGGAGCCTCTGCAGGATTTTAAGTATCTCCACCCCTCTTTCAGCTTTGGACCACCATGAACTCAGACCAGAAGGGAGGCGGGGATGGACTGACTACAGCCACCCTGACAAGCCAGACAAAGAAAGGGCGAGACATCATTGCTGCATCGCCAACCAGCGGTTTTCATCCCTAATGCCTTGAAGTTAAAACTTAATTAGCACTCACACTTACAATCTCTGCATTACGATTTTCTGATTTTAATGTCTATAATTTACAAGTTGTAAATTATAGATATTAAATCCAGAAAATTTGGTCAGCTGCTCTAGACGCCACATAACACACCATAACAGAATCCATGGAACACTCTGAAATCCCCAGTGGCCATATGATAATTCTCCAAAGTCCTTGTGTGCCCATTGGTGGTGATGGAGTTTCAATGAGGGGTGCATGAATGGGACACCATAAACTGCTGCTTAGAGGAAAGCTGAGCACTGTTATTTATGCTAATCTACTTCTGTCTCTGCCTCCAAGTTGTTTTTTCCTCCAAACAACAGATTCCAGGCAGATATTGTCCCTCTAGAAAAAGACATTTATGTACCACTGTCATAACGCACCTTATTTAGTATGTCCCTTTCTCTCAGAAGCTCATCCATGGCTTTCTTATCAAGCTCTGCTTGTTTCTTTGATGTCTCCACCTCTAAATCACCAAGGATAAAAAAGAATAATTAATGTAATATCAGCCTAAGAATCTGCCAAAGCCAAACTGATTTTAGCGGGGTTTTTTTCTTTTTCTTTTTTCTTTTTTTTTTCTTTTCAAAGTGATGTATAGAAGAGTTATAGTTACATGAGTAAGAAATAAGTACATTTCTTGTCAAACTGGTTACCCCCTCCCTCATTTTCTCCTACTTTCCTTCCCCCAACCCCCACAAGTTGTATAGATCATTTCCAATATATTGTCTTGTGCACTGATTTTAGCTTTTAAAAAACATAAAACTGTATAGCTACATCGTTGTAGCTATACAACTGTGCACTGACATGTGATCTTCATGACTATGAAGTGGGTTAGCTGTCCCACTCAATAAATGGAAACGAAGGCTAAGAGAGATGAAGCCAAGTGACCAAAGTTCACCACCAAGAGATGACAGGACTAAAATCAGAAGTTTGGCTTCTCTAACCAAAAAGTCCTTGCTCTTCTTAATCTTTTTATTACTTTACAAGTAAAGTAGAAATATAGAATAAAATTAGAAATGTGAATGGAAGTGGTGCTGTGGCTCAAGTGGTAGAGTGCTTGCCTTAGCTAAAGAGCTGAGCGACAGCACCCAGGGCCAGAGTTCAAGCCCCTCAACTGACAAGAAAGAAAGAAAGAAATGTGACTAAACTAAAGAGAAAACATAGATCAACTAGAATCTACTTAGGATTTTGAAATATCTTTTTGGTGTTTTTCATATGAAAATATGTGTTTATATATAGAGAGAGGTCTTCATAGACAGTAAAGATAGAATTAGTCTTTATTATTAACTCTTGCTACATAAGAAAATGTTAACTTTTGGCTCGTTGACTCGAATTCTTAGCTTTAAGAATGTCAACATTTAGCAGGACACCAGCAGCTCATGCCTATAATCCTAGCTACTCAGGAGGTTGAGATCTGAGATCATAGTTCAAAGCCAGCCAGCCCAGGCAGAAAATCCAAGAGTCTCTTATCTCCAATTAACTAGCAAAAAGCCAAAAGTGGAGGTATGGCTCAAGTGGTAGAAAACCAACCTTGAGAGAAAAAAAAAAAAAACAAGGGAGAGCTCAAGGCCCTACGTTCAAGCCCCAGTACTGGCACCAAAAGGGAAAAAGAAAAGTGCCTAGTGACCTTCTAGTTGGCTGGGAGGATCCTGGCAGTTTGAATGTTGTATTGATTATTTGACATGATGTGTGTTTGCACACATAGGGCCCTGGGTTACAAGACAACCATAATCAGTAATGATAGGTTCATAAATTAACCAAGCACAAAATGGCTTACCTCTCTCTAATCCCAAGATCTGATTTTTTAAGGTTTCCTTTTGCTGTTCTATTTCCCCCTTTTGATCTTCAATCTGGTGCAACTTCTTGTGGATTTGTTCTCGAATTTTGTTCAGCTTCCCAATATCCACGCGCATCTGATGGATTTCTTCCTCTTTGGCCTGCAATTAGTGAGAGAGAATTGACCAGGATGCAAAGTAAGGAAAGGACCAGGGACTGACAGATGATAAACTCCAAACCAATCAAAGGCAAGGCTTCCAATGTCAGTGTAAATCTGCTCCATGAGATTAAATCCAAACACCCGGTGTTTGGTTTTGAGAGAAATTGAAAAATACTACTCGCTGGAGAAAATATTCAGCTATATAAAGTAAAAATAATGAAAAGGCAGATGTCTCAAGTAAGCATCTCATTGTGGACACAAACAAAGGGACTGAGTTACATCACAAATCCATGACTTGTGAGTAGAATAGTATTTGTGTAAATACTATTCTATTAACAGTTGTTGTGGCCTTACAAAGGTGTCTCTCTGCAAAGGTTATTAACATACTGTTAAATACAGGATCATTATTTTTTGGCCCCACCTTCCTCAAAGTCAGTCAGTCTGAGTGTCCATTCACACAGATGGACAGGGCGGAATGATGACATGGTGAGCCTACATCAGAAATAATCCTAGCAAAAGAAATCTCCAGATTTTTGTTTATGGTCTTCAAGTATTATCATTTTTTTATTTTAAATTCTCTTTAAAAAAAAAACCTGTGCCATTAGAAATGACTGGAAAAGTAGTTGAGGATTCATCTGCAAACAACCATTAGCAATTATCTCGAGAAGGAATAGACAGGAATTGGCTGTGCAGATTACTGCTAAACACCAAAGCCCTTGGGGCCAGGATCTCGTAACAGGAATTTTCGAGTTTTTAAGATATCCCCATTTGTGTTATCAAAGAAGTGAATTAGTGCTTTTTTTTAACTTTAGTTTTATCTTAGTGGCTAATACATTACTGTGATTTAAGTAATCACTTCATCTCTGCTTCCAGGTGAATTGAGTCTAAACCCACTCTAGATTGTTTTCAGTGTTCCTCCACCACAGCCCACAGTGTTCAATTTAGTTGACTTTAAACCCCTTTTAATTGTAAGATGTTTTAAATTCAGTAGTAATCCAGACTCCATGCTTAGACTTCAGACAGCCTTGAAATGTCTAGGATGCATAAAAACAAGGTACAAATGTGCAAATAAGTGTGTGTGCACATGTGTGTGCATGTGCTTTCATTAGATTCTTTTAAAAAAAATTGTAATACAAGCCAGGTACTGGTGACTCAGACCTATAATCTTAGTTACACTCAGGAGGCTGAGACCTGGAGGACTTAGTTTCAAAGCCAGCCCAGGCATAAAAGTATTCTAGACAAGCTCTCCAAAATAACCATTAAAACATCATGCTGGAGGAATGGCTCAAGTGGTAGATCACCAGCCAGGCCAGATCAAAGCCTTGAGTTCAAACCTCAGTTTAAAAAAAAATGTTATGGTTCACTATTCAAATCTACACATTATTCTTGATAGGACACTCATACACAGTATTATAACAAAATTTAGGTTGGAATATGAATTTTTCCCTCTCAGAATTAAAGTGATAGACATAAAGCTGCACTGTGAATTACACATAATGTGTATCTGAATAGAAACAGTTTCCCAACCCCAACTTCATTGGCAAATACTCTTTAGGGAGGAAAAGAGAGAACAGGAAACTTGTCTTAAAATACATGATAAACAGACAGTAGTAAAAATCACAGTTCCAGAATCCTGGATGCAAATGCCCAGTAGGGCAGGTCCTTGCCACAGCCCTCCCAGACCACCTTCTCCACCAAAGTCGTCAAAACAGCATCTGAATCCTTCACTACTCACATGTGCAGGATAGTTCTAGCCAGGGGCAAGTGGTTACTTGCAAGGCTAATTACACAGATGAACATCTGAGCTTGCTTTGGAAAGTATTTGCATAAGCCTATGATCAATAATCAGGTTTGTAATTTTATCAGTAAGAATGGAAGTTAACAGGCTGCCTGCTTCCGGGCACAAAGCAATCATTATAGTCCTACACCTGCTGCTTCCTAAAGCTAATCATTTATGCAACCAGGGGCTCCACCACCAGGCAAACCTAACTTCCTGGGGTCTGAGGAAGGCAGTGCTGAGGACAGACGTGGCACTTGGTATTTACCTTGAGCTCCAATGCCTTCTGCTGGTTTTCCTGGGACAGCTGCTCACAAACCAAAGAGTGCTGCTCATTCTCTTGCTGAAGTTTGGAATTCCGCATCTGAAACTGTTCAAGTTCCTTAGCAGCCCTCTCATTCAGTATCTGCAGGGGCAGGAAATGAAAGATTAATCTGATTATAGTGTCCGCTTGTGCACACAGGAGGCCCCTAAACCTCCTGGAAAAATAACAGCAACCACAACTTTTTTTTTTTTTAATGCTTGCAAGAATTGTTCTGTATCCCAGATGAAAGCACTAAGCACTCAAATGCAATGAATGTCAGGTGGTTGAGAAAATGACGCCTTCTAATGAATGACTCAGGGAGCCTCTCTTTTTTCTAGGAGAGCCTTGGGAAGTCTTGTTCACAGGTGGTGGATAAATATTTTAATGCCTGTTTGCCATTTGGCAGACTTTGCATATGCAACAATTGCTATAATCACCACAAATGAACTACAGATTCAAATGGGTTTTACAGCTCTGGGGTTCTGAAGCTGAATCTTCCAAAGCAAATTTGGTATTAACATGCCTACAACACTTCCCAGCCCCAACCCAGAGACAATTCCTCCCCCCACCCTACCCCAACCCAACTGAAGTGGACACATGGGACAGACATAGAGTGACTTATAGCTGTCTGCTTCTGGTGTCATCTGGATCTTTCTCTTCCTCATTTGACCATTCTGAGTAGACAAGGTTTTATAAGAATAAAGGATTGTGGCCTGGGAATGGGGTTTAGTGGTAGAGTGCGTTCCTAGCATGCATCAGGCCCTAGGTTCCATTCCTTGGTATCACATAAACAAAAAAGTTAACACAGGGCTGGAAATGTGGCTCAGTGGCAGAATGCTTGTCTAGCATGCATGAAGGCCTGAGTTCAATTCCTCAATATCACATAAACAGAAAAAAGCCTGAAGTGGCACTGTGACTCAAGTGGCAGAGCACTAGCCTTAAGCCAAAGAAGTTCAGAGACTGTGCCCAGGCCCTGAGTTCAAGCCACATGAGAGGCAAAAATAAATAAATAAACACAAAATTTTAAAAGAAAAAAGGAACTGTCTTAGGAAGTCTTTTCTTTGGGGGAACTCTAGGGAAGATAGAGGGTTATAAAATGAGCTAAAAGCAAGAGGGGAGATGGAGAGAGAGGAACAGAGAGGAGGGGCAAAGGGAGAAAGGGAGGGAGAGAAAGAAAGCGCACAAGAGATATGGAAAGAGGAAGAAGAAATAGGAGAAGAGAAATATGGTTTAAGTACTTTGTTCAAACTATAACTCCCCATATATGCCAAAAATAAAAGTGAAAAGACACATTCAATTTTCCATAAATAGGACTAAGCAAAATGTTACCAGCTATGCTAAAGATGAAATGTTGCTATGCAAAAGGTGCTGTAGTTTTATCATGGTGTCCAACACCATGTCAATTCCATGTTCAAAAAAAATCTTGGGCTGGGAAGATGGCTCAGTGGTAGAGTGCTTGCCTCGTATGCATGAGGCCCTGAGTTCGATTCCTCAGCACCACATAAACAGAAAAAGCTGGAAGTGGTGCTGTGGCTCAAGTGGCAGAATGCCAGCCTTGAGCTGAAGAGCTGAGGGACAGTGCCCAGGCCCAGAGTTCAAGCCCCACAACTGACAAAAAAGAAAGAAAGATGAAAGAAAGAAAAATCTTGTATTTTTCTTCTAGAAACTGAACACTATTTTAATTCAGGACTCATATAAAATGAGTAAAGCCACTGCCAAATAAATGTATCATAGTATCTATTTTTTAGAGTAGAAAAGTGCTGTATAACTTGATAATTTTTAGAAACAAACTTCCTGAGCTTCCCGGATGAAAGTATTAAGAAATGACTTTCAATCTAATGAATTGCTTCTTTAAGAAGTGAAAAGGAAGCCAGGAATAATGGTCTACACCTATAACCCCAGGACATGGGAGCCTGAAACAGGAGCTTTGTAAGTTCAAGGCCCACCTGGGCTACATAGAAGACCCACTGTCAAAAAATAATAATAAATAAAAAGGAAGGAAGAAGGGAGGGGAAAGGAAAGGAGGAAAGGGAGGAAGAAAGTGATGGAAAAAGAAGGAAGGAAGGAAGGAAGGAAGGCAGACAAAAATTATTTTCATTCCATTAAATGGCCACAAGAAGGGAAATGTTAAGAAAAAAAACAGCACCAAAAGTATGTAAAGATTATGTTGTTTTCTAAACTTGAGACTTAAACTTGTTAAGAACAAATGATATTACATTCATGGCACAGTGGAATACTGTATAGCCATGAGTGGAAATGGTCTAGTGCAGCCATATCAGCCTTGTCTACACCACTGCAGACAGTACCGACCAGCCACAGGGCTGAGCACCTGAGGTGATACCAGCACAAACAAGGAGCTGAACTTTACTTCCTGAGCTTTCCATAAATGCTGGCGTCGCCCATGGCTTCAGTGGCTGCCACACTGGAACAGAAGGTCGTGGCAGGCTCCACGGTGCCCTTCCCGGGTTTGCCCACCTTCTGCTCCTTCAGCTGCTGCTCCAGCCGCTGCAGCTCCTCCTTGCTTTTCTGAACGTACTGCTGCAGGGCCTTGATCTCCGTCTGCCTGGTGTCCATGTCCATCTGGACCTGCTTGAGCTCTTTCTCCAGTCTTTCCTTCTTCCGAGACTCGCGCGAAGCTTCGTTCTGACGATACTGGATTTCCTGTTGGAACTGCGAGGTGCACAAAGGACAGAGAAGCAAGCGGTGACTCCCTTCTGGGGCTGGCGTCCACCCACCGTGGTCCTACGCCTCTCTCCCCGCACAGCACTGTCAGGTCGGTCACTCTCCAGGTGCCTTTTCCCCTGTGGCCCCATCAGGCGTGAACCTTGATGTTCACATTTTCATGGATATCGTGAATTGGTTTTTCAGGACCTTGGTACCAAAGGTCCGCCCTGATCATGTGGAACAAACTCTCGGGGGATGGAATACAATCAAGCAATCACAGAAACCTAGAGCTCTAGAAATGTTAAATCTGAAGGGATAAGTCAAATGCAGCTGGCTCTCCTAATATGAAATTGTTCTACATGTTCTAAATAGGTATTGCTAAACCAAGCACCATGCTTTTATCTGCATGTCTAACATCCTATGACAAGCCTTTTTTTTTCCCTTATGCTCAAAGAAGTCTCAGTTTTTCTCTCAGATAGGCACCTGATCTCTGGTTTTACATGCAATTGTTCAGAAGCCAGAGCTCGTACTCATGCCTATAACTCTAGCTACTCCGGAGGCTGAGTTAAGAACAAATTATGTCATATTCATCACACATTGGAATACTATACAGCCATGAGTGGAAATGGTCTAGTGCCACGATGTCGGCATTGTCTGTCTATGCTACTACAGTGCTTGCCAGTCGCATGGCTGTTGAGGACTTGAAGTGATAGCAGCACAAACAAGGGACTGAATTTTTACTTCCTGAATTTTTACTAAAAATGTTAAGTGTCACCTATAACCTAAGTGGCTTCCATATTGGAACAGAAGGTCTACCCAGGCAGACAAATCCAAGAGATTCTTATCTCCAATTAACCAGCAAAACAAAAACCAGAAGTAGTTGAGTGCCAGGCCCTGATCAAAGAGCGAAGCCAGAGCACCAGTCCATGAATCTACCATCTTCTAGGTGGCTTTCCTCTAAAGGAGAAGAGACAAAAGAAACCTCTGTCTCCATTGTCCCTCATGCTGGGTCCGCTGACCTTCTTCACCAGGGACACCTGCCAGAGCCTCAATTATAACCGGAGTGTCTGCCTTAGTGAACTCTTAGAACCTAGACAAAGAACAACTCAGGAAAAACTGCTCTCTTGAGAACAAACCAGAGAAGCAAGCAGGGTGGCAGATGCTTCATTTAGGCACAGAGGGTACATTGGAGAGAGGAGCAAGACAGGAAGGGAGGTGGGAAGGTCAGGGTGTCCTCTGAAAGCCAGCATCTTTCATCCTGCCCTGCATGGCAGAGCAGACCTGATTGATGGTGTTCTCTGCATTCTCCTTGGCGCGCTCCGTCTGCTGGTGCTGCTCCATAGTCTGAGCTAAGGTCTCCCGTAACTTCACCACCTCCGACAGGAGTTGGTCTCGCTCCCTTGTCACTTCCTCTTTGAACCTCAGTAAATCTCGGATACTAGAGAAGAAGAACACACAGGATTCAAATTAAATGGTCATCTGCTTAGGGGGTCCCTCCTGTTTTCCCAGGGAAACCCTGCAGGCTCACAGAACATGCTATTCCATGGACAGAAAGAGGTTCCTGGACCCTGACATAGGAGCTACTGAGAGACACTCACAGAAAAGAAGTGCCAGTAATAGTGAGCATGATGCAATAATCCCTTTTTTTTATTTTTAAGAGAATACAGTATCTATTCACATATGAGTGTGTATGTGTGTGTGTGTGTGTATATTTTATAAACATGGGGAGGGGCAAATCTAGGATTTTAACTCAAGGCCTCACACTTGTTCAGCTTGATTATTTGCTTGGCTGCTGCTCTTCCACTTGAGCCATATTTCAGCACTTCTTTTGGCTAGTTCAATGGCCATGGACTCTCATGGATGTTTCTGTCTGGGATGTCTCCAACCAAGATCCTCCAGATCTCAGCCTCCTATGTAGCTAGAATTACAAGTGTAAGCCACCAGCACCAGGCTTTTATAGGCATTTTTAGCAAAACCCAGTAAATCAAATATTAGGTGAGCAATTATCTCTGAGGAATTTGAAGTAGAAAAGTTAGGGGAAATGACACTACCCACATCTCTGTTTTATGATCTGTTGGAATAAGATTATATTGTTGTGCCTCTTACAATGAATGTGAAGTGGATGTCAACTCACAAAACTATTTGTTTAGTGTATCCACTAGAGGGCTAGGATCCGAGGAATAAAGTACAGCATGAAGAATACACACAACCAATTAATATTGACCTTTTTTTTCTCCAGTCACCCAAACAGATTCATTTCTCCCAAATGAATGTGTCCAGATAAAATGATTGCCTAGGATAAAAATTTGGAAAAATCACTCATGGTGGCGGGTTTAAGGAGGGCCTGTGATAGTGCCCACAGATTAGAAATATCGAATTGTAACCTCCACGTCTCATATCTAATTGTGACCTCCACATCTGGGAATGTGGCTTAGTGGTACAGTGCTTGCCCAGCATGCATGAAGCCCTGGGTTCAATGCCTCAGTACCACATAAACATAAAAGGTCAGAAGTGGCACTGTGGCTCAAGTGGTAGAGTGCTAGCCTTAAGCAAAAGAAGCTCAGGGACAGTGGCTAGGCCCTGAGTTCAAGCCCAGGACTGGCATAAATAAATAAATAACCATTCCATCTGGCATGGCATTCAGCCTCTGCCACAGAGTAAACCTGGAGAACAGCCAGTCTGAGCAGAAGAAATCAAGGGAGACATACTCTGCAGATGCTCACAACTGACAGCCATTGAACAACTGCTCAAAATGCAGTAATTAGACAGTGCTTATTTACCAACATTTGATATAATGGAAATGTTCAATAAGAAACCTTTGAATGCACACCCAAATGCTTCTTCCCTGTAAAACAACCTCAGCTCCCAGGCTGCTATGCCCAAGTACACTATCGAGGCGAAAACTCTTTCCCCTCTCCTCACACTTTCCCAATTCTCTTACAAAACTCCTCCCATCTGGAGCTTTGTTCACTTGGAAAATGTGGCTCTGATTCTTATAGAGCCGTAGGTTTAATACAACCACAGGTTCATTCTTCAGTGTGGATAAAGGGAATGTTAGAAAGAAAAAGGAATAATGAAACATAGAAAACCGTGTCTGGGCATCCAACAAAGAAGTTTCGCATTGCAGAGAAGCTTTCAGGACACCTTCCTGTCTATTGCAGATGGAAAAGCAACTGCAAAAGGGAGTTCAAGGCACATCATGAAGGGCGTGACCTACTTGGTATCCTGGTCCATTGACAGACCAGATCCCTGTTCCACGAGTTTGGTCAGGTTCACTATTTCCTCTTTCAGGGCCAGAATTGTCTCCTTGGCCTTCTGTTCCTTATCGTAGGCCGAGTCTACCATCTTCCAGGCCTTTTCGATTTCCTGAATGGGCCACAGCAGATCAGTGAGTAAAACCAAATTGGCTTCTATATACAAGAAAAACTAGCTGATAGAATACCACTGACTACAGTGTAGTGGTCATTAATGGGGGAAGAATATTATCTGATATGCATTATACCTTATGAATGAGTTATACTGAGTTACTGAACTGTTGTTCACCATGAGCTAGCCAAAATCAAACAGGACTGGCATGGGGTACATTTTTTTCCGTGTGTGTGTGTGTGTGTGTGTGTGTGTGTGTGTGTGTATAAGCTTCAAAAAAGGTGGCAATGCAGAGATTTACAATAATATTAATAATAATAAGCTCTCATAAAAATAAGCATAGATACAGACTTTAAACTGATATATTGAATATAACTTTTGATAAATTTTCAAATAAAAAATATATTTTGTGGTTGGGCCAAGTGAATGCCTAGATGGCAATGTAAGATTTGAATCCCTCCAGTCTGTACATAATAGCCTTGGTAATTCCCATTTTCAGAAGTCCTCACCCAGGCCTTCTTATCAAATACTTTCAGGGGAAAACAACACTTAGCAGGAAATGGAATCCATGGGGCATGCAGCTTCAGTTTCCTCACTGTTATAAAGATGCAATGCAGATTATTAACATTAACAAATAAAAGTGAATGACAGCCATTCAGGTAACAAGCAAAGCGCAGTAAGTGCCTGCAACAGCTGAGTTTTGTCCCACATCCCACCACCGAACCAATTCAAAATGTTGTCGAGTATTAGGTTGGTCTTTTATGGAGATAAATATCTATAAGCTTTGTGTGAAAATATTCCACTTAACGGTTGACAAGAAATAACATGGATGGAAGAGAGTGTTATTTAAAAAAATCATATTCACTTATTACACAGAGAAATTACTCTGGAGGAACCATGACGTACAAAATGTCACTTTCTGGACTTTGTTCTTATATAGCAATCCTACAGATGACCATTGGCAAAACAAATGAAGGCAATTGCAACAAAGAATATGATTACATAAAGTTTTATCCAAATCATTTTCATCTATTAGGCTTTTTTTCCAGTGCTAAGGCTAGAACCCCAGAGCTCCTGTGTGATATGTAAGCATTCCCACGCCAGCCATCAATTAGACTTTAGCCAATTCTCTACTTGTCCTTTTAAATGTATTGTGAACAGTGTATTTTCACACCATAAAATGAATTAACACCTTCTTAAGTTGGTTCGTTAGCAAGGAGAAGAAACTGACAATAAGGAAAAATTACACCAAACAAATAGTTTTCTAAGAAAAAACAGACCATATTATGTTCTGGTCTTGGAAGTTAATTTGAAATGGATGACATCCAATCATATGATAGCCAAGGAATTGCCTAAAGTGTTTTGTAAATTATTTTTCATAGCTACAGTTTTGAATTGCAAATTAATGTCTTGATCTCTCATCACCCTGAGATCAAAAACAAATGTTTTTGTCTCCAAAATCATATGACACTCTTAGGAGAAAAAATATGTGATGTTAATTGAAACTCCCTTCTACAAACTACTTAAAGATTTTATTTAATTTCTTTTTTTCAGTCCTGGGGCTTGAACTCGGGGCCTGGGCACTGTTGCTCAGCAATTTTTGCTCAAGACTACTGATCTTCCACTTTGAGCCACAGTTCCACTTCTGATTTTCTGGTGGTTAATTGAAGCTAATCATCTTACAGATTTTCCTGCCTGTGCTGGAAAAACCACAATCCTCAGATCTCAGCATCTTCAATAGCTAAGATTACAGGTATGAGCCAGCAGCGCCCAGCTAAAATTTTTAAAAGAACAAAAGAAACGTATAATGTAAAATTGTCATATTACTTTAATATTCCTTCTGACTGAATCCCTGTCTCTCCTATTAGAGGGTTTTGGAAGCAGGAGGAAATAAAAGAGGAATAGGAAGAAAGGTCGTGGAAATTACCATTTAAAAGTAGAAGTATTAGAATATCTTTAACAAGCTATTGAATGTATAATTGCTCACCTCGCATTGAAGACGCACACTGAGATTCCTAATCCCACATTTACTTGTCTCTGTCTCATTGGCTCACCCACTATTAACCAGAAACCAAATCACTAAGGTTCTCTATTATTTCCTGCATGATGAACTTCATCAAGTCTACCTGTTTTCTTTGAAAATGAATATATAGATCATATACATTTTTTGTCCACTCGCTACCAGCCTGGAGTTGCCAATATAATGAAAGAATGACATCTGAAATTCAAGGTCATCTACTTCTGGATCACTGACCTTCTTCAGGGAGGCGATGGTTGTCTGATCATCCTGAGAGAGCTTCAGAGCAGTGGCGACCTTTGCAGAATTCACCACAATCTCCGCATTCAGTTCTCTGCACTTGGCCATCAAACGCTTTTCATTGTCATAAGACTTTTTCATGACAGAATGAAGCTTCTCATATTCAACCCTGAATTTTTCCAGACTTTTGTCTCCTGCAAGTTCGCCAAGAACCTCCTGAAAATCTTTTTCTATTTCCTCAAATGCAGTTTCTTCCAGCGCTAGTTTTTCACTCTTCTCCTGTGTAAAAGAGCAAGGGTGGGAATATATGGACTTGACAATTTTTCTGTTGCTATCTGCTATATCTTCTACTCCCCCTGAATGAAAGGGCTTCATACAGGCACAGGAAAAGCCACTGGCAAGCAGAAAAAAATATGTTTGAAATTTCTATTTTCATCCCCTGAAGCATTTGTGATATATATACATATATATATATATACATATATATATCACTATAACTAATTAAATGAGGACATACTGGAATGTGGCAGGCCCCACCAATATGAGTTACGTCCTTAACAAGACATAAAAGGAGAACCTGTTAACAAACAGATGTGGAAGAACATCTGTGAGGACACAAAGTTGAAGTGAATGGTTGGAGTTGCATCTAGGAAAAGCGAAGGATTGCCTACCACTGCTTGAAGCTAGGAAGAGGCAAGGATGGTTTGTAGTCTGGTTCTCCAAGGGGGTGTCATTCTGCCAGCATCTAGATTTTAGACTTTTAGTCTTGAGAGCTGGGAGACAAGCATTCTGTTCTAGGCAACCTGGGTTTATGGTACTCTGTCATTTGTTTGTCTGTCTTGTTAGGTTGGGTTGGGTTTGGCCTGGTAGTATTAGAGTTTTGAAATCAAGGCTTCATGCTTGCAAGCACTCTGCCACTTCAGCCATGACCTCTGTCCTTTGGCATTCCTCCTGCTTTTGCCCAGCCAACCTTGGATCTCAATCCTCCTCCTCCTGCCTTTGGAGTAGTTAGGAAAAACATGAACCACCACAACTGGGCAGTTTGTGGTACTTAGTTATGACTAAGTACCTACTTCTTATTAGGAACAGAATAATAATGATAGAGGTATGGTTAGTATATTTCTTCATTCATTGAGCAAATATTTGTTGAATACCTTATATAAGTAATTCTGCTGATGTCTCCTACAGGAGATACCAAAGTAAATAATAAATAGCCCACCCACAGGCAATGTGTTTTTTGGTCACCTGATGGAGTATGTCATGCAAATGATGGAAATATAAAATTTAGTCCTTGATATAAAATACATTCAAAGTTCTATAAGAAGAGAGAATTTCTTAAAGCAGCAAGAAAGCAACAAATAATAAAAGAACTGGCATTTGAGCAGTCCTAGAAGGAAGAAAGAATTTTTCACAGGTGGAGGTGGAAGAAAGGGCAACCTGGGTGAGAATTAGCAGTGTTTGAGCAGAAGTCAGGGTCAAGCAAGGGTTCAAATTTGCCAGTGTGTGAGAGGAATACAGGAAGGAGATTAGCTAGTGTATTAGGGATGGACTAGAGGCAGACAAGAGTATTCTAAGGAGTATAGGTTGCATTATTCTGAAGACCACAAAGAACTACTCAAGACTTTTAAGCAGAAGAAGAATGTGGCGTGACAGTGCCCAAGGAGCAAGGATGAGAGAGGGGTGACAAGGGTTAGTGGTGTTCATACAGGGAAACTAGACAGTCCACTAGGGTGGGATGATAATGGAGTGTAGATTGAGTAGAGGAAACAAGGGATGCAATAGGGGTGGAGCCTTGTGGTGCTAAGAAACTCTGGGACCAAAGCTGGCTCCATGGACCCACAACCCACTCATTGGTGTAGGTTTAATGCTCAGAAATGCCCACCCTTGGTTAATATCATTTTTTTTTGCCATCATTGTGGGGCCTGAACTCTGGGCTTGGGCGCTGTCCCTCACCTCTTCAGCTCAAGGCTAGTGCTCTACCACTTAAGCCACCACCACGTCTGGCTTTTTTTTTCTGCTTATATGGTACAGAGGAATTGAACCCAGGGCCTCATGCATGCAAGGCAAGCACTCTACCACTGAGCTACCTTCCCAGCCCTAATGTCAAAATTCTTAATTTTTTTTTTTGGTCAGTTGTGGGGCTTGAACTCTGGGCCTGGGCACTGTCCCTCACCTCTCCAGCTCAAGGCTAGTGCTTGAGCCACAGGACCACTTTGGGTTTTCTGGTAGTTACTTGGAGATAAGAGTCTTACAGATTTTCCTGCCTGGGCTGGCTTTGAACCTCGATCCTCAGATCTCAGCCTCCTGAGTAGCTAGGATTATAGGTGTGAGCCCCCAATGCCTGGCTTCTTAATAATTTTTGAACAGGAATTTTGTTTTGTACTGGGCCTCACAAACCAAATAGCTGCTCCTATGGAACTCTTACAGGAGTGTGTAAGCGTTTTGTTGTTGTTGTTTGTTGTTTTCTGCCAAGATCCACTTACATACGTAAAGCATCATTGGAGAGCCATATAAAATTATCCATACAAGCAGGGTAGCCACAAGAAGCATCGAGAAGCTGTAGGTATCCATATCAGCATGTACCAAATGATTTAGTGAACCTTACAGGGCTCAGGGGCCGGACATTCCCACCGCTGAGTAGGTGAGGATGGAGAGGGCAATGAATGCCCTGGGACAGGGCAATGAAGGATTAGGATGGGAACAGTGAATGGCAAGTGATGGCAAGGTGCTGGGGGCGATGCGGTTAGAAATGAGAGGACAGCGTTTCGCTGAAGGAGCTTAGAGAGGCAAGCCCCGTCGGTGAGGCTGCAGACAGGGTGCTCTACGATGCAGGGGGGGGTGGGTCTAGAAGCTGTACGAGTGAACGCCAGGGTCGAAGACCGCCCAGGGCAGTGCAGAAGGGCTCAAAGGCCTTCGTGAAGAGGTCTGGCAGCCGGCGACCACACGACAGGGCATCAGAGCGTGACCAGGGCCCAGGCAGCATGCAGCGGCGACAGTGCGTGTCTGCGGGTAGCTCTCCGTGACAGCTCAAACGGTAGGGGTGGGTACAGGGGACCCACGGGTCTGGAAACTCTTGAAATGAGGACCGGAGGTAGATGGAGGAAGGCTGGCTAAGGGAGATCCCAGGTAGGAAGGGTAGGATCAGGAGGGCGGATCCCAGTCAGCGAATGAGACCGGGGGCAGCCCCAGCAGGAGAGGGCTGACGGGGAGGGGAAAGGCGGGAGGCGGTGACTCCTGACCTCGGCCATCCTGACGCTCTGTCGGGGCGGCCTCAGAGGCTGCTGTGGAGTTCGCAGAACCTGGGACGGAGACAAGAGAAGGTGCTGTGCTCTGCCCCCAGTGTCTGAAACGGCGACACGTTATCTCTATCGCCCTCCAGGGGCCCGGAACCCCGGGCTCCTCGCGTCCTCCGTCGCCTGGCAACCGCTACGCGCCCCCCCTCCCCAGGTCTCGAGCCTATGTTCGAGAGGGGCGGAGCCTCAGTGACTGGCACATGGGTGGTGTGCCTCAGAGAAATATGCAAATCTATCGCGAGTGGGGCGGAGACATGTAAATTAGTGGGCTGGGCCTCACAGAGCAGGTGAGGAGGAAAGACAGCTACAGTAATTAACACTGATTGGGTCTTGAAATGTGTGAGACCTCTCTGTGGCTTTATGTATTCCTATTCCTAGCCCTTATCATCGTCCACATAGGCATTCGTGCTACCATGACTAGGTAGTTATTTCTAGAAAATGTGTACTATTAAATCAGAGTGGAGTTTTAAAATTAATAATGGCGTTGGACTTCAGAGATGATTCTTTTCTGCTTCTTTCACTCCACATTCTTTTCCAGGATCTCTCTTTACTGCGGTTGGTGTGGTAACCCCAAGTTCATTGCTTCTGACTGCTGCACAGCATTTGGGAAGGTTTCACCTTGTAACCCAGGCTGGCCTGGAATTCCCTGCACAGCATTTCAGATGGGACGCTCACGCTTTACTTCCCTTCTCCACGTGTTACATAACAAGGCTTCCCTCAACTCTCCAGTACCACAGACAAAGTAGCCAAGATTGCCCTGTGGCCCATTTTATGGACCTGAGTGCCAGTTCCTCAGAAATGTCTGCCTAGGGAGCCTGTGCGGTCCTGGGAATACTTGGAGCGATCATATATGGAGATGCAAGATATGTCTGCATGGGAAAAAAAATCCTGCAGGGGGGGAGCCTCGTGAGCCATAAAGCAGCTTTTCCTTTTGCTCTGCTGGATAAGATGTATCCTCTCTCCAGCCCTACCCACACAGACAAAAGCTCTGTCCCCTGAACCCAAAGGATATGACTATACAGAGCGAGTGCCTTTTCAAATTCATCTTCCTAGAGGTAGACATAGATTTCTGGCAATGCACAGATACCCAGTAGCCCGGAGTAAACCCTTAACCACACCAAGTTTGGTTAGACTGTATACCAGAACTGCTGCTCTAGGCTACCGTGCAGTGTGGTGCAACAGGTCTGTGTCCTGAATCCCTGCCTTGACAGTATGGAGTAGTTTATTGATTCATAAACACTCCTGCAAGTAATAGATACTATTCTAAGTGTTTCACAAAGCCTGATTCATCTAATTAGCCAGTTTTCCAATGTCTGTCTGCTAGCTGGTAAAAGCATACACACATCTTTGCATTCACTTTCTCTTTTTCACTAGAGAAACTGAGCATCTGTTCCCATGTCCATAAGCCACTTGAGGTTCGCTTCTGAGAACTGCCTAACTCTTAACCCTTGCCTACTTGTCTACGCATCTTCTTTTTGATTTGCAAGACACCTTTGTAAAGTCTGGACATTCATCTATTTTCAAAGACTAGGAACATCTTTATGTTCTTCATTTTGATATAATCCTTCATTTTGAATCCTTTGAAATAATTTTTCATTTTGATACTGTAGCTCTTTGTCCTTTTTCCTCTTACTTGCTTTGCTTTTTATATGCTCTTTCAGTATGATTTAGTCTTTCTGGACCTCAGGGTCTTTATCAGTTTGCTTTGTGAGCTTCATTTTACCTAATCTATCCTCAGTTTTACCTTTTTAAGTTGGTGGAGAATTGTGACTTTGGTAGTCTCTGGCTGTTACATCTACAATTCGACATTGAAAAGAATCCCACAAGTAATCCTATGTAATCAAGTACATGCTACGTTGACAGCCCAGAAGATCTAGACACGGATTCTTGAGAGCACGAAGACCCCAACAGAAACACTCAGGGAACCCAGCAGGAGGTAAAAAGCCATATGACATGCTCAACTCCTAGAAATGAAATGTTGTTGGGCATCAACACTAGTAGAAAATTGCATGAAAGGGTGGGTGGTTGGACATATCACTTTGTGATGACGAAACAAAATGCCTGATTTCCAATTCCCCAGTCTACTGGAAACTAGCCATACCCCTTCTCCCTTGTGTTGTCGCAATTAAAAGAAGCACTAGGTGGCATTGTACTACCAGAAGTTCTCACCTGTCAAGAGTCTCCAGGAGCAACACACCCACAAAAACTTCAAGAGTCTCCAGGAGCAACACACCCACAAAAACTTGTGTCTGACACCAACTTACACAAGTGGGAGTGTTGTCATTAATCTCATTTCTCAATATACCTATTTGCTTTATTTCCTGAACACCTACTATGCTCCATACTGTGGAAAAGCTAACTAGGGTCTTCTCTCATCCTTCACAAGACCTTTAGACCAGACAAGATGTGGTAAGCTTTGGAACAAAGGTACCAAGTATTCAAATAAGGTCTTGTGAAATCTGGCCCCTTTAACCATCATTCCTTGAATATGTTATATTCTTTCCTACTGGGTGTACTTTGTAATGCTTATCTCCCTGTCTGGAATATTGGGCCCTCTCTCTTTGCCTGCATGATTTCTACTCATCCTTTCTTCAGATCTCAAATTCCCAGGGAAACTTTCCTTGGCCAGCCTCTCAGTCAGAGACTACAGTGGACTGCCCTACCATGGTAATTAATGATCTAGTCAGGTGAATGGTTGTGTAATTTCTGTCTTCCCTACCAGGATATCAAACCACAAAAGGTTAAGAATTGCCTACATCTTGTTCAGCCCTGTACAACTGGTATTGAGTTTATGGACTGAATCCTGTCCTCCCCCCCCCCCACACACACACACCAAAAAACAAACTCACATGCTAAAAGCACTAACTTGATTATATTTGAAGACAGAGTCTTTTACAACATGAAGTTCGGTTGGGTCCTAATCTAATCTGGCTGTTATCCTCATAAAGAGAAGAAATCTGAGCACACAGAGACACACCAGGAATGTGTGCACACAGAGGAAAAACAACAAGAAGGAGGCCATTTGTAAGCCAAGAGAAGAGAACTCAAGTGAAATCACACGTACTAACACCTTGATCTTGGACTTGTACCCTCCAGCCTTGAAGGGAAATATATATAGTAAGGCTTGACCTCGGGGCCTGGGCTCTGTCCTTAAGTCACAGTGCCACTTCCAGTTTTCTGGTGGTTAGTTAGAGAGAAGAGTCTCACACACTTTCCTGCCGGGGCTGACTTTGAACTGTGATCCTCAGATCTCTGCCTCCTAAGTAGCTAGGGTTGCAGAACTGAGCCACCAGCACCTAGCTGAAGGGAAATATGTTTCTGTTTTTAAAGCTTCCCAGTCTGTGGTAGTTTATTATAGCAGTCCTAGCAAACTAATATAATCAACCAGCACTGTGCTTAGTAAATAATTATTGAGCAAATGAATTCTGAAATAGCATATTAAGGAATGTTAGCTGCAGATGGGACTCTTAAAATTAACCTTTAATAATAGGAGTTAGAGAACTGGAAGAAATTAGAAAGAAGCCCGTGTATGGAAAGTAGCAATGGACAGAAACCTAGAGAAGACTGCCAAACCTCTTCCATAAGGAGAATGGGGTTCCTGTTAGGGACATTGACCCTAATGTTGACAAAGAGGACAGGGCAGATGAACAGCAGAGAATGGCCACAAACTCAAGGACCAGAAACAGCCCACAAACAATACACCCATTTGTTCTGCCAGATAACTCCAGTATGTGATCATAAGCAATAATACCTCTGCCAGACTTTGTTTAAACCTGAGTATAATGGCCTCTTCTCACACCCTGCTAGGATATCTAAGCTGTGCGCCATAATGCAATAGGAATAACAGGATTATATACTCAGTGCTCATCTTTTCCATGGTACCCAGTGAGAATATAAATTCAGCCTCAAGAAAAGTGCCGACTTGTAACCCTATATAGAAATTCCCAGCATGCAATGCAAAGCATCCCCCAAAGGGATCTACTCTTCTAACAGATTACAGGGACTGTTTGGAGGAATCTAATAACTTTTCCCTCTGAGACTAATAACTCCCATCCCAGAAATGCATGCCTTCTTGAAGCCAGGTGCTTCATTTGGCCCTTCCTGCCTGTCCCAGGCCAGAGCTGAGAGTATCTAGTGTGAAAGCCTAGCCACATGGGACCAATTCTATTATCTCTTCCTGAGAATTTGTATCTAAGACCAAAATTAGTCAGCAAATCACAGCTAAGTCTGGAAGGGTGGAGCAGTGGGCTGTGTAGAAGGAAGAAGAAATCAAAATGAATGGAAAGGGAAAGTCATAGACCCTAAAGAGGTAGGTAGAGGGAAATGAAGGAGGAGCTTACAGCCAACGTCTTTGGTTGTGATGCCAATTTAGATCCAGGTAACAGGTCTGGGAGAAACCCAGCAATATCTGTCTTTTGGGTTCTGCTAAATGCTATTATTCCTCTGCCTAGAACTTCTGCTCACACCTATAATCCTAGCTACTCAGGCGACTGAGATCTGAGGGTCCAGGTTCCAAGCTAACCTGGTCAGAGAAGTCCATGAGACTCTTATCTCTACTTAGCCACCAAAAGTCTATAAGTGGAGCTATGACTCAAGTAATAGAGACCCAGCCTTGAGCGAAATAGTGAAGGCCTTGATCCTGAGTTCAAGGTGTAATATCAGCACAATAAACAAAAGATATTGTTACTCCCCCAACAAAATTCCCTTGTTTCAGCTCGATAAAGTGAGGTTTTATTGCATATATACTCCTCTTTCCATAAAAAGGTCAGAGCAACACAGGACCCAATGGCTCAGGCATTTTTATAGTATCATGGATTTACTATCCATGGAATGTAAAGCCACATTTTGGGGCCCAGATGACATGGTAAGAACTGCTCCAGACCTCATGTCTAACATTTCTCCTCCAGGCTGTTGGGAAGATGAAAAGCCCACGAGTTACAGAATATAGTTATCATTTATCAGCTGACCCTGTGGTCACCTTAGATGACAGAGTCCCAGCTGGCTGTTGCTCTCCAGCACTGTGCAGGGCATATTTTATTCCTTTAATCTCCTTCCTTTCCAG